CATCTAGATGTTGGTTTTTATTTGTTTTTACTTGAAATGGTATTAGAATTACTCTAGATAATGTTTTATATTATTTTCAACTTCGTTATGATCGTTTTAGTTTGTAATCCTTTAAATTATGACTATTATGTTGGCCATTGTGTAATGACGTATTATTCTAGTAATAACGATATTGATGTTATTACAAGGCATGCAAGATTAGGTCTCATAGGGCAAATATCGAATGAATAAGTTGGAAAAGGAAAGAAATTTAAGTCCTTTCGCGAAAATTAACGTGCCAACTTGTAAAAATTGTTTTGTTGGAAAGATTACACGTAAACCATTTGGCAAAGCTAACAGAGTTGAGTTCCTACTTCAACTAATACATTCTAATATTTGTTGTCCAAAACTGTAAAGACAAGGTCTTGTGTTGCATATTACATTACATTTATTGATGATTTCACGTGTTTCGGTTATGTCTATTTGATTTTCTCATAAATATGAAGCACTTGAATGCTTTACAAGATATATGAATGAAGTTGAAAATTAACTAGATAAAAGTATACAGGTTTTAAGAACAGATTGAGGATGTGAATATTTTTCAAAATAATTTGAAGCATTATGTATTGAAATGAGCATTATTAGACAATTAACTACTACTTAAACACTTCAACAAATTGATTTATCTAAAAGAAGGAATAGAAAATTATTTTAAATGACAAAATCAATGATGGCGCAGGCAAATTTGTCTCTCTCTTTCTGGGAGATGCAACCTACATATTGAGTGAGGTGCCTTCTAAATTAGTATCTTCCACTTCTTATGATCTTTGGACTGGTCATAAAACAAACTTGAATTATCTACGACTTGGTGTTGTGCTACATATATTAAAGATCAATTTGGTATGTTTGGTAAATTAAGTTTAAAACAAATGATTGTATCTTTATAAGATACTCAAAACGCTCCAAAGGGTATGCGTTCAATGATGTATTGGAGGATGGAAGTAATACTGAAATTTTATCACGATATGTTAGATTTTTGGAAAATGATATTCACAAAAACGTGAAATAAATGAAGGTGGACCTCTCTACGATATGTTGAATTCAAAAGATTAGGTAATGTTATTAGACATACTATGGTTCGTGATCCCTATATACTACTAGTAGAACTTTTGAATCCCCAAATCTTATAAATGAATCTAAACTTTAATTATGTAAGAGTACAAGAAAAGGTGTACCTAAATGATCTTATGAGATTAAGGATTATCTTTTCTTCGTATCTCCTAGTGAATTTGATAAGAATAATTCTAAGCCCTAAAAAGGATGAATGGTTAAAAGCAATGAAATATGAATGAGAGTTTTTGAAAACCAACAAAGTCAGGGATCTAGTTGGCCTTCCTCAGGGACGTAGAGATATTAGGAATAAAGTAACTCTCAAAGTTAAGTTCAAATTAGATGGGTCAATACAGATACACAAAGCACAATCAGTTGCAAAAGGTTTTACTCAAGAAGCTGGAATAGATTATGAGGAAACCTTTTTAACAGTTGTGAAGTTTACCTCTATACAATTATTTTTGGTTATTGTTGCACGTTCAGATCTAAATTACACCAAATGGATATGAAAACTATTTTGTCAATGGAAACTAGACGAAGAAATCTACATGAAACAACATGTAGGTTTCTTTGTTAAAGGACAAGAAAACAAAGTTTGTAAATTGAAAAGATCAGTTTCTGGCCTAAAACAATCTTCAAGGCATTGATATATGAGATTCCAAAAATAAGTGATTTCCTTTGATTTCACCATGATCAATAACAGACCATTGCATCTATGTGAAAAGATCCAAAGAAAAATTTGTATTTATTTCTCTTTACGTGGATGATATATTATTAGTCAAAAGTAATTTGGAGTATGTCAAAAATGTCAAATCATAGATTTCAAAGTCATTTGACATGAAAGATATAAGTGAAGTAGACTATATATTAGGTGTTAAAATTCAACAAGATCGTTCCAAAAAGTTTTTGAGTCTATCTCAAGAAATATACATAAAGAAAATCTTTGAACACCTTCAAATGAATAGTTGCAAACCTATGGATACTCCAATAGCAATAGGTTAAAGTTTAAGCCTTGCAACGTGTCAAAAGACTAAAAAAGAAAATGAAGACATGTCTCGAGTTCTATATTCTTGTGCGATCGGAGTCTAATGTACGCTACGATGTGTAATCGTTTAGACATTTGTTATGTCATTTGTATGGTAAGTATGCATTAATATAATATTGTAAGTAATCATTAGAAGTCCATCAAGATAATATTCTTATATCTGAAGGTAACTGTAGATTATTCACTATCCTATAGTGGATGTGATTTACTCTTAAAAGGTTACACAGATTTTGATTGGACCGGTGGTCAGAATGATAGAAAAATCAACCTCCGGTTATGGTTTCTTAGTTAATTGTGGTGCTATTTCATGGAAAAGTAAGAAACAAACTTGCATAGCTCTTTCAACCAAGGAATATGTATTCGTGGTTTATGCATCTGCAATACAAGAAGATGTTTCATTAAAGAGATTCTTTGAGCATTCGAATATTGCAAAGAATTCTAAGGGTCCCAGGTTTTTATATAGCAACAGTCAAGTGTCTATCTCAATACAAAGGATCCTATGTTTCACAGCAAAACCAAACATATTGACATCAAATATAACTTTGTGAGAGACATAGTAGTAAGTGGAGAAATAAATTTACAATATGAAAGGGATTGAGCGGAATGATTGCAACGAGACACACCAACACCACTACTTAGAGGTGGAAAGGGGGGCGGTCGGAGGATGACAGAGCAATCACGCCTTGCTCCCTCCTGACATCTATTGGGAGGGAACCTCCTTTCAGAGTGTGATTCGTCGTTTCCAATGCGGTTAATTGCTATTAGGCTTTTTAGGAAAGTTCCCCTTCCTACTCGTGAAATAATAGTTGGTTACAAAAGATGATATCTAGAGACTTATTTGAAAAACGTGTTATGGCTCTAGGTTTGCATAGGTTATGATTATATTTCTGTATTGTAAAATGACTTGATTATTATAAAATTCTCATCAATATAATACTATTGAATTTATGTTCATATCTTACATACATGTGATAGTATATTTAATTGATAAAGTATGTCAACAAGTTGCAAGATTGACTCTCTCACACGAGCAATCACCTCTTATGTTAAAAAGGTGAAGAGATAAGTTTCACCACTGTTACAACTTGTGTTGTAAGCCAGGTATGAGTCTCTTTAAGAAAATGAGGTTGAGGATCTTTGAAGAGATAAACACATATTGGACATATAAAAATGTTTAGACCAAGATCCGTACGATGTTGAATGATTAAATTAAATAAGACACACACACCAATATAAGGTGAGAACATCGTAGGACGTGTTGCATGCCATGTGTGTTAAGCGACTAATGGGTTCATATAAGAATGAATCTACACTTCTTCGTTGTGTTTATTGAAACCCTTTGAATTTTGACTGTTTCTTGAAGTTTTATTAATGTTTCTATTTTAGCATGTTAGTAATATCCATGAATGATGCGGCCATGCAGTGCATGTTTTAAGAAAGTAGTTGATTTGAAATCGATATATTGGAGTGGAAAGGAAAGATAATCAAATGCAAAATAATCTAATTTGTATATATAAGCCGACTATTACACTGATCATACAGATGTTGAGTGTAATTGTGTATATAAAGTTGAACACAAACTCGATTTCAACTCTTTAAGAGGATGAGAGATCAAATAAATAACTACTAGAGTAGTAAATGAATTCTAGGGTATTGTGAGTAATTGTATCCTCATAATTGTGTGAAGTCTGGGCGGGTACACATCATAACATACATCAAACTTCAAACATAACTAGATTAAGAAACTCGAGACATGTCTTCCTTTTCTTTTTTAAGTCTTTGGACACATTTCAAGGGTTAAAGTTTCACCCCTTCCTACAGTAGTATTCATGGATTTGCAACTATTCATTCAGAAATATTCCAATATTTTCATTATATATATTTCTTGAGATAAACTCAAAGATTTCTTGGAACAATCTCTTTGGATCGTAACACCTAATATATAGTCTGTTTCACCTATATCTTTCATATCAAATAATTTTGAAAGACATGACTTGACAGTTTTTACATACTCAAAATTATTTTCAGTTAATAAAATATAATCTACATAAAGAGAAAGAATTACAAATTTTCCATTGGACTTTTTCACATAGATGCAATGGTCTTCATCGATCATGGCGAAATCAAATGAAATCACCTCTTTATCAAATCTCATATACCACTGACTTGAAGATCGCTTTAGGCCATAAATTCATCTTTTTAGTTTGCGAACTTTCTTTTCTTGACCTTTAAAAATGAAACTAACTGGTTGTTCCATGTATATTTCTTCGTTTAATTCTCCATTGAGGAAAATGGTATTCGCATCCATTTGGT